TATTGATATAATGGATAGCAGGGATGGATATTTTAGAAGGGAATTGAAGATGATGTTGATATGTTAGCCTAGGAAGTTTATCGGGTGGCAATGCTTTAAAAGTGGGAGGAAAAGGCAAAGTTCTACCTTATACATGTTAAATTTTAAAACTGAGATCTATACTCACAGATATCCATTCTACATCTGTAAATAAGTTACTAGGGCTGGAAGACAAGCTTAGGGTTGGCATATACCTTCACTTTTCATTGATTGAGACGGTATCCATTGTAAGACAGAGATTTTTAAATGTACAAAATAAATGTCTTAGAATTGTTGAGATATAGAACTTAGGAATTGAATCATGTTAGTTATGTCGAGGCCAGAAAAAGGAAGAGGATGAGACTGGAAAGATTATGAGTCTTTATGAGTGGGTAGAAGAGGAAGGACCAGTGAAGAAGATTGAGAAGAAAAGATTAGTTAATTAGGAGTTGAAATAGAATTGAGTTGTGTCTGAGAAGTCATGTGTAAAGGTCACAATAAAGGGAGGTTAAAGGTGCAAAAAGTGTGATTAAATATGGACTCATAAATCAGACTTGCTTTAAGTTCCAAGTAAATCTTATTTACTGGTATGTCTATATTAATAAGTAACTATAAAGAGATTTTGTTAAGCTTTCATATACCGATGCCACTCATATTTGTTTACACTCATCATCAAATTAGTGTATTTCTTTACACATTGGCATATCACTTATTAAAATGCATAATGCACCTTAAACTTTTCAATCATTCTTCCACATATTTACATGAAATACATTTTCTGAGTATGTAAATATTAGTAATAACATTCATTGTAGAAAATTTTCTAAATATAATATGAAGAAAACATTAAAATGATCTATACCTTAGAAATAGCCATTATTGATATATTGATAATTTTTCTACCGGTTTTTTCTAAATCTATATGTGTGTATGCATTGAGGTGTTTATACAGAAATCTCATTTCTATCCAACTTTTTCACCTAGCTTTATATTATGAGCAAATTCCCATATCATTAACAATTCTTAAATACTTTTTTCACAGATGTAAAATATTCTAGTGTATGGCCACCCCCTAATTACTCAATTATTTTCATTTGACATTTAGATTGTTTCTCATATTTCATTGCAAACACTTACTACTACTTATCTCCATTTTCAATAGCTTTGTTGGGATAGATTTTTAGAAGTGAAATTACCCTCTTGAAGATGAGAGGCTTACAAGACAAGAAATGTATTATTTTTCCTAGTGTGTATCCTAGAAATGTGGTAGCAGCTTACTGCTCTATTGACAATGTATGAAGACGTACATCTTACCATAATTTGAATATTTTCATTTAAGAAAACTTCCCAGCATTTAGATGATTTAATGTTAGGATTCTAATTACCATAGTCATATAGTTATTCTTAAAGTAAATGTCCTTTTTAAAAAAATCCTCACCCAAGTATATGCTTTCATTGATTTTTAAAGAGAGAGGAAGGGGGAGAGAGAGAAACATCAATGTGGGAGAAACATCTATCAGTTGCCTCCCGACCTCACCTGAGCAAGGATGTAGCCTAAAACTTGGGCATGTGCCCTGATGGGGAGTTAAACCTACAGCCTTTGGTTTATGCATCAACACTTCAATGAACTGAGCCTTCCAGGCAGGGCTAAATGTCCTTCTTATGGATGATCTGAATATCTGAAGTATAATAAATCATTAATGAAAATCTAAGGAGCACCTGCAATGAACGAGGCAAGGAATATATGGCATGATTCTTACCTTATATTCACTCAGAATTTCTTTTCTGGATGTTTCTTTTCTAGCCCATGTAAATTACATTAGAAACTTTATTCCCATTCTAAATGGGCACATGAAAATTATAAGACACTAACTCTAGCTACTACATCTTAAAAAACACATGCTTTTTTTCAGCATAAATTGGTAGGGAGAATTGCAGTGGGATGGGCAAAGGTGACTGAGTTATAACAGATTCTTCTATCTAATTATATATACAGGTGGCAAATGCATTATTAAAATAGTGCCAACCTTCCTAATGCCGCGACCCTTTAATACAGTGCCTCATGTTGTGGTGACCCCCAACCATAAAATTATTTCCGTTGCTACTTCATAACTGTAATGTTGCTACTGTTATGAATCGTAATGTAAATATCTGATATGCAGGATGTATTTTCAGGGGTCGCAACCCACAGGTTGAGAACCACTGGCTTAGTGTCTTGTGTTTCAAGTGAAAATTGTAATTAAAAAGTATGTTCTCTCCTCCACTAGTACTTTACCATAGGGATCTTATCTATCTTGAGTTTTAGAAGAACAATTAAAAGCAGTAATGTTTCTGTTTCAGTGAACTGCTCACCTCTTTGGTGTATCAAATATGTATTTAACCGAAGACGATAGTTTTCTATTGATTTTTTAGAGAGAGTGGGATGGAGAGGGAGAGACAGAGAGACAGAGACTTCAGTGTAAGAGAGACACATATGAGAAAGACACGTCTACTGGTTGCCTCCCACACGTGCCCCTACAGGGGCTAGGGATCGAGCCTGCAACCAAGGCATGTGCCCTTGACTGGAATTGAACTCCAGAACCTTCAGTCTGTGGGCCAGCACTCTATCAACTGAGCCAAACTGGCTAAGGTCACTGGCATACTTGAAAATATTGAACATACTATTTATTTTAAACTAGAGGCCCAGTGCAAAAAAATTTGTGCACTCGGGGGGGGGGGGGGGCACTCAGCCCGGCCTGTGCCCTCTCGCAGTCTGGGACCCCTCAGGAGATAACGACCTGCTGGCTTAGGCGTGCTTCCGGGTGGCAGAGGGCAGGCCCAATCCCTAGGTGCAGCCCCTGGTCAGGCTCAGAGCAGGGCCAATTGGGGAGTTGGGGCGCTGCCCCCTGTCATACACAGAGCAGGGCGATCAGGAGGTTGTGATTCCACCCTCAGTCACGCTCAGGGTAGGGCCAATTGGGGGGTTGGGGCACCATCCCCTGTCACACTCAAGGCAGGGTCGATGGGGAGGTTGCAGCGCCACCCCCTGTCATGCACAGAGCAGGGCCGATCAGGGGGTTGGGGTGCCGCCACTCTCACACTCAGGACAGGGCCAATGGGGAGGTTATGGCTCTACCCCGTTACACACAGAGCAGGGCCTGTGGGGGGGTTGGGGAGGGCACCGCACCCTGTCACACACAGAGCAGGGCTGATCAGGGGGTTGGGGCGCCTTCCCCTGTCACGAACAGAGCAGGGTGGATAGGGAGGTTGTGGCCCCGCCCCCTGTCACACACAGAGCAGGGCCGATCAGGGGGTTGGGGCGCCGCACCCTGTCACACACAGAGCCGCAGGGCGATCAGGGGGTTTGGGCGCTGCCCCCTGTCACGCTGATCCTGGTGCCGGGAGGCCTCGTGGCTCTGCTGATCCCGGTGCTGGGAGGCATATTATCCTTTTACTATATAGGGTAGAGGTCTGGTGCATGGGTGGGTGCCGGCTGGTTTGCCCTGAAGAGTGTCCTGGATCAGGGTGGGGGTCCCCACTGGGGTGCCTGGCCAGCCTGGGTGAGGAGATGATGGCTGTTTGCAGCTGGTCACACATCCTTCAGGGTGGGGGTCCTGGCCAGTCTGGGTGAGGAGCTGAGGGCTTTTTTCAGGCTAGGGGTGACTGAAGCTCCCAACCACTCCTTTTTTTCTTTTCTTTTTTTTTTTTTATTCTGGGCCAGTTTTAGCTTTGAGGCTTGGCTCCAGCTCTTAGACCTCCGCTGCTGAAAGTAGGTTTCTGGCCTTTGCTTACAATATTGCGATCCTGCTGGCTGAAGCCCGACAGGTATCTGGGGTTTTGTTTAGCTTCTATGTTTGTTACATAGTTGCTTGCAGCTCAGAGGCCTGCAGCGGCAGTCGGGGAACGTTGGAGTCCTCCATCACTGAAGCAAGCAAGCCTCATGTTAGTTTCAAGCTTCCTGGCTGCCGGCCGCCATCTTGGCTGGCAGTTAATTTGCATATTTCCCTGATTAGCCAATGGGAAGGGTAGCGGTCGTACGCCAATTACTATGTTTCTCTTTTATTAGATATTATAACTGCTGTGACTTCTCCAAATCTTGGATTTAACTGTAATATTGGCTGCCCATAATATGGTCTATTCATTTTCCAACCACATTATATTATTTCATGATAGACTAAATTAACATTCTCAAACTTGAGTATTTCCTCTGGTAGCTATTTTAAAGGAAGTCTAAGTTGCATATGAGAAAAGAGTCTAAGACTTGATTGGCTATTTTTCCCCCTTGTAATGTATGATTCCTTAGTTCTGATTCCTCAAGATTCTTTTTAAGGAATCATATCATTGATAATAATACCTTGAATTCTTAATAATTATGGTTATTGCCCAGCCTGTGTTGCTCAGTGGTTAAGCCTTGACCCATGAACCAGGTGGTCATGGTTCAATTCCCGGTTTGGGCACATGCCTGGGTTGGAGGCTTGAACCTCAGTAGGGGGTGTGCAGGAGGCAGCGGATCAATGATTCTCTTTCAACATTGATGTTTCTACCCCACCCTCGCCCTCCCCTCCTCTCTCTGAAATCAATAAAATAAAATAATTATGGTTATTAAATTTTCATGTCTTTGTATTGCCTCTTTAATTTGATTTAAAAGCTACTTAGGTCCATGCACTGTGCTTTAGACCTCGTTTTACTTTATACTTCTCATTTCCATCAGGCTCCAACTTAGAACATTAAAAATAGTAGCTAGTCAGCCTATAGTTTACTTGTAAAATAAAAGGAAAAAGCTATAGATTATTACTTGTTATATAAAAAATCAAAATATTTATTCATTCTGATATTTTGTGATGACTTTTTACTATTGAGTTAAAATCTAAAAGATATTTGTTGATTTGTGTGCAGAACCTTATATTTGGAATAGTTCTCAATACAATAGGATCATTGTCATTGAAAAATTCTCTCTTATCATTTTTCCTTTCTTCTATGTTTTATTGCTGTGATATATTCAGGAACTCCCGAAAGCCTAGCTGAGAAGGAGAGGCAGCTTATGGGTATGATCAATCAGCTGACCAGTCTGCGAGAGCAGTTGTTGGCTGCCCATGATGAGCAGAAGAAACTGGCTGCATCTCAGATTGAGAAACAACGCCAGCAAATGGAGCTGGCCAAGCAGCAGCAAGAACAGGTGAGTAAGAAGTAGAGACACAGTTCCCTCAGGCTTTGTTTTGCCTGCTATTTATGTCATTCTCCTAAGCATACAAAGATCATTTAATGCCTCTCTCCCCATTTGCCCACATAATAAGTAAAAAGGCAAATGACGAAGCAAACTCTGATCTGAAGAAAGTTATCCACTACTTTAGTGGTGAGTAGCATGGAAGTAATTATAATCAAGGTGCTGATAGGTCATGAGAGAAGTACCAAAAACCATGGAGAGTCAAGAGAACATTTCCAGTCAGGGACATGAAAGATTTCACTAAACAGGTGTTTGTTCTGGAACTTTGAAGAATAGGTAGGATTCACCAAGTAAAGTAAATTTTCAGTTATGGGGCAGGAATTTTAGATAATAAGAAGGAGCGAGAATCTGAACTAGATAGGGTATTGACCATGGAAAAAAAGAAGAAAGCAATAAACAGGTGGAAGAGTTACGGCTAGTTGAATTTTTTGAGTGGGCAAAAGGCAGAAGAAAAGTTGAGCTTGAATAATAGGGAAAGTCAGGGAGAGGGCTACTTTGGAACAGCAACTGGCTATATGACGTTGAATTAGAGCTGTTGTCAGGTTGTCCCTCTAGAGCAGCGGTTCTCAACCTGTGGGCCGCGACCCCTTTGACAGTCGAATGACCCTTTCACAGGGGTCACCTAAGACCATCCTGCATATCATATATTTACATTACAATTCATATCAGTAGCAACATTACAGTTATGAAGTAGCAACGAAAATAATTTTATGGTTGGGTCACAACATGAGGAACTGTATTTCAAGGGCCAGAAGGTTGAGAACCACTGCTCTAAAGGTAAGTGAGAGACAGGTAGAAATACCAATCAAGAGAGGTCTGACTTAAATGTTTTAGATTATCTACATAGACATGGTAGTTCAAAACACTAGAATAGAAAAGTTTTATTCATTTTCAATCAAGTGCTTCTTATGTGCCCGGCACTGTGCTAACTAACTGCTGAGGCTACCTCAATTAACCAGAAAGACAAAGCCCCTAAATTCTAGTGGAAAGAGGCGATTAACAAAGAAAAAGAGACATTAACAAAATAATCTCGAGTAGTGATTAGTTATTTGAAGAAATATAAAAAGAATAATTCGATAAATAGTTACTTGTATGTCAAGGCAGTATTTCTTAGCTAGGGTGATTAGGTCAAGCATTTAGGCTCAGATTGAAATGACACACAAGACACAGCCATATTAATATCTTGAGCCCAGAGTGTTCCATACAGAGAAATAGCAGGTTTATAGGCCTTGACTTAGAGAAGGGGTGAAATCATGAGAAAATGGACATGAACTAACGGTAGATCCTTGGAGATACTGGTATAAAGCTGCTAGAGAGAGGAAAATGAACAAATTCGGAACCAGGAATCTATTATATTTTTCATTTAGATTCTTGTTGGCTTTAATAGTATGGCTTCTATGGAGCTTTTGTAGCAGAAATCAGACAGTCAGAAATGACATGTAGAAGAACTGACACATAGTGAGAAACTGGTAACAAAGCATAAGAACTATTACTTAAAGGAAAATTGCTAGTAATAAGGGGAGATAGAGGGCATACATAAGGTAATTGTCCATATAGAGATGGGGCATCGTTTAGAGGGCTAACGTCCCATGTTTTGTGCTCAGTCCACTCACCAGCCACACTGGAGGAGAGTCATTGTTTAGTCAGAGGTATTCAATACTGCCAAACATTCCAAACTGCTCTCAAAATGTAAACTAGCATAGTTGAAAGGGGTAAAGAAATATTCAGAATATATTTGAAGAGATCCCCTATTTTCAATTTATTATCTCTACTTGGTGGTTCATATCTGCTTGAAAGATATTTTTATTTTCAATGAAATGCTTCATCATTTTCTTTCAATGTATATTTGACCTGTTATTGGCCATGGCCCATATCTCTCTTTCTTTACCTTCCTATAAAAAACAAAAACAAATAAACAAACAAACAAACAAACAAACAAAAACAGGTCAGAATGCTAGCCTGTGACAGTCTAGAAAAACACCAGTCTTTTCATGTATGTTTTTAACTTTCAATACCTTCAGACATCTGAATTCTAGAAAATTCTGGGCGCATCTGAAACTGTAGCTCAGATGGGGTTATTTCTTTGTAAAGAATCCCCACCTTGGTGGATTTGAGGGTCCCTAAAACTTTGAACAATCACTAATGGAGAGCAAGGTTCCTTTCTTTCTCTTTCACATTCTGGCCCATCCCCAAATATCATCACTAGGTTCTAGAATTTTTTACTTTCTCTGACATTCTCCTTTGAACTTTAGAAATCCTTAAGTTTTTCTAGAATGTCTTCCCTATATTGGAGAGATGCCAGGCAGTGATGCCTACACAACCTGTGAGAAGATCCCTCCTGAGGGCCTCAGGTCAGCTTTCCAGAGCCCATCTGCTCTCCCAGGTCCTCTCTACCATGTGTTTCTGACATGCATAGTCAGCACTGTTGTGGTCACTGCTCTTTTCATCAGGACACAGGGATATCTCTGAATGACATTTAGTATTTATTCCTTAAGATACAGGTTAAGTTCATCTTCTCTTGAGGGTTTCTTTTCTGACTCTCCTCTTAACACTCCCTACTTAACACAGCACAGGCCTCCTCTGCACACTCTAATCTTCCTCTGACAGCCCTTAAAGATGCTAATGATCTTGTTGGCTGATCAGCCTTTCCACCAGACCGTGAGCTCCATTCCACGTTCATCCATTCAACAAATATCTATTGGATACCACGTTGATCTTAGCTTCTATTATAGTTACTGGGATCCGGCAAGGAACGAAACAGACAAAAATCCCTCATGTATTGAATTCTAATTGGTAAGAGATAGACAACAAATTAAAATGTAAAATATAGTATATGTTGATAAGGATTATGGTGAAAAAAATAAAGCAGAGAGTTAGGGATGAAAGTGCTGGGTAGAGGGGCTCTTTTAAAGGGAGTCATCAGGGAAGACCTATTAATTGACAGGGTCATATTTGAGTAAGGAATTACAGGGGAAGAGGGAGTGAATACACCAGTTATCTAGGAAAAGAGGGTTTCAGATGGAGGGGAAAGCAAATGCAGAGGCTCAGAGGCTGGAGTAGCCTTCGGAAGTGGGAACATCCTTGGTGTGTTCAAGAGACAGGAGAGAAGTGTGGCAAGAGTGGAGTGACAAAGGAAGAGAAGGAGAACATGAAATCAGAGAGAAAGGAGGCCAGATTATATTGGGCTTGCAGGCATGACATGGCCTTTCCTCTGAGACAGAGTGTTTTGAAATGATGAATAACATGACAATTTACCTTGTCAAAGGATCTCTCTAGAGCAGTGATGGCGAACCTTTTGAGCTCGGCGTGTCAGCATTTTGACAAACCCTAACTTAACTCTTGTGCCGTGTCACATAGAGAAATGTTTTGATATTTGCAACCATAGTAAAACAAAGACTTATATTTTTGATATTTATTTTATATACTTAAATGCCATTTAACAAAGAAAAATCAACCGAAGAAATGAGTTCGCGTGTCAGAGGTGTCAGAGGTTCGCCATCACTGCTCTAGAGTCTAGAATCTAGATGCTGGTTTATAATAGGTTATGGGGAGCAAGGACAGAAGCAAAAAGAGCAAACAGGAGGCTATCACAACAATCCAGGCAAGAGGGAACAGCAGCTTGGAACAGGAAGAAGTACGGAATGGTATGAAGTGGTCAGTTTCATGATAAATACTTAATATCAACTGAAGTATTGGGGTGTGGGAGGAAAGAACTGGACTTAAGGAGAAAGAGACATTCCCTTTTCTACTATCTCATTTTCTACCTTTCTGCAGAAAAAAATGTTTTTACTATATTCCTAAGATAAAAGAAAACATTACAATAAACATAGTTGTACTGATGTCCATAAGGGAAATAGAAAGTTCATTGTGCAGCCATGTAGACCCATCCCCTTCATACCGGTTCTTTCATTCATAGTAAAGGACTCTGCTTGTATGTTATCCTCAATTTTTAGCCTTCTGATACTAAATTTAAGGAAATACATTTTTTAATGAAAATGGCAATGGCGAGGATAAGAACCAGTGCTTACTTATGAGAGGGTTATGTTACATTCTCATGAGAAGGTAGCCTACCCTTTATGATGCAATAAGGAATTTTAAAATTCTCTTCTCATCTAGTCAATCAAGCATTCTGCATTAACTATTCAGGCATTTTGAAAATGGTGAGCAAAATATGCATGACCTATACCATAGTACATATTAAGTAAGAGGATATTATCAGAGCACATAACGGATGGCGGTGCTAGTTGCTGGCATTTCAGATGACTACCTTTCAGATGACCACACTGAGGGCTAAGTCCTAAGTTTAGTTGTTAACCTGTTGAAGTTCCTTTGGGAATGTCATTGGATAAGTGGGTCTAAAGCTTGAAGCAGAGGTCTAGTCTGCAGAAACAAATTTATAAGCACTTGGCATACATATGGGAGTAGGTATGGAGGTAAAAGAATTGAATCTGAAATTAAGCCTATAGCACCACAACAGTGGATAAAGCCTTTGAAGGTGACTGAGAAGGAACAGACTGGGACTTAGAAGCAAAACGTACTTAGAAGCATGATGTACTAGAAGTCAAGGAAGAAGGTGCGGGAATCACTGAAAGCCTTGAGTGTTGTATTCTGATGAAAGGTCAAAAGGTAAGGATTAAAAATCACTTCACAGTTTAAAAACTGGAAGTGACTGGTGACTTTATTAAGAATCATTTTAGTTGCGAATGGGAGCAGGAATCAGAATGGAGTACGTTAAGGAGATGGCAGTTTAGAGGCAGAAATGAGGACAGTATTTACCAAAAAACAACAACCAACAAACATAAAAACTCTAAGAAATAAAGCATTTTACAATAGTTTGTGCTACTCTGAATTCCTGGGTCACAAACCCCCACTGTTTAATCAATACTCTCATAGAAAACAGCTGAAAATATCAGAGATAGTATCTTCTTAAGATATTGCCAGGAAGTGGGATTTTTGAAATGAACATTTTATACTGGATTAGATCACTGTTGTAGTGTTTTAGGGCATCATTACTTTTAGGCCAAAAGAACCATAATGGTTCCTGAATATTGAATGTCTTAACTGATCCTACTTAATGATGAACCGCTGGTACTGTACAGGCACAAGCATTTCCATTTGCATCAACTTAGTAATCAGTGTCAAATCAAACTTTGAGAAACAGAACATTGGTAATTTCCCCATAGGACTATAATAAATACACTTTAAATTTTTCCATGTGCTATTTCTCCACAGATTGCCAGACAACAGCAGCAACTTCTGCAGCAACAACACAAAATCAATTTGCTTCAGCAACAGATCCAGGTCAGAAATCATAATTTCATATATTCTTCCAATTAAAAAATGCATATTTGTTTCTCATTTTTAGATGTACCTGATTGAAATGATCTAGAGTAAAATTTACTTTCAGCCTAATTCATGCTGTGTTGTCTCCAGTGCCAGGAGAATCATACAGTGGTGGCCCTGTCACGGGCCCTCCTGTGTCATGGAGCTTCAGTCCAAGCAAGCTGACCGCAATTTTCATGCCATATTGAAGGGAAATTAATGTTAGAAATGTTTTGTTTTCTCCGTTGTTTCATATTTAAAATGTACCTGTAAGTGTGTTCTTGATGGCAGAGGTGCAGGGAAACCAAAGCAGAAAGGTAGAGTGGGTTTTCATTCAGTCACGGCAGTAAGAACTTTTGCGGTATGTTCAAGAGCCATGTGCGATAAAGGTTGAAGTTAGGGAACATAACGAGTTGGTGTTCAAGTAGAATCCTACCTTTAGTATAGACAGTGGGTTCTATAACCTCCATATTTTTCTTATGTGGAAATTTACAATGATAAGAAGCATCAATAAAGAACAAAGAAAGCGGTTGTATTGGTAACAAAAGGAAACGATACCTTGCCAGTGATGTCTTGTCTCTACCACTCACTAGTGTCATGAACTTGGACAGAATTTGTATCCTTTCCTGAAAATTCTTTTTCTAGAAACACTTATTTCACAGAGCGTTTATGAGGATTTAATGAAGTCATGGATGGATGGCTTTAGGGTAGTGTCAAGACAAATAGTAAGTGTTCAATATATACTCGCTGTGACTAGCAAGGAAAGGAACTTGAGTCATGGATCTATGAATTCAACTCTGTGTAACTTCATTCATCTGGAGGCAACTATTAGATTTGCAGTCAGATTATCTGGGGAAACATTCATCATACTCTTGAAGTTTTACCTTGAGAATCCAATATATTTTATTAAAAGTGAATATCATAAATGACGGAAGAAAATGTGTCAAAATTATTTTATTCGTTTGTTAATCATGTTTAGACTTCTTTGTCAACAGAGTTTATTCCATTGTATTTAATTGGGTCAGGTACATTTAATGTCTTTTCCCTGGATTATATAGACCACAGGGTTTACTCATTCTTGTTCTCACTGAGATTTCAATGAACTGGTCACAGCCTTAGTGAAAGCGATATATCAATGAGATGATCCAACCAAAGTCTTCACTTTCCTTAACTGTAATTATTAGAAGCATATTTCTAATGGAATATGTTCTACCAGGAGTGTGGTTGCTCAAAGGTTTAAAACTGTTAATTAGATTTCCATGTTTAGTCTAAGTGTGATGACTTTGAATATAGTTTTAGTTGATGTTATCAGATTATCTAGATTTAAAATGTTTTTAATTATTGAAAACCTATTATAACAAAAATGTTATGGCAAGTTCTCCATATAAGTAAGGCACAATTCCATAATCAGTGATGTGGCCCATTGCAAATCACTTGATTTCACTATAGTTTGATGAAGGTACCAATAGTTCTAAATTTTTACAATTTTTTTATGAGACTGAGAGAGTCCTTTGTTAACCAGAATTGCAAAATTGTATCTAAACCCATATTTAAATATGTATATGGGTAAGCTTTGTTTGACCACTTAAATGTAATCATCATCTTCCATTCCTTTTTTTGGAATTATTTCACAATTATGAACACTGTATATATAATGTGGATTTTAAGCTCTGCTATAATGACCAAATGTTGAAATGGATGGATTCAAGCCAAGTTTAATAACCTGCCCAACATCATACAACTAGTTACAAGTAGAGCTAGGATCAGAGACAAAGTTTTCTGATAGTTAATAGAAATTTTGCTAAGTATGAGCAATTTAAAAGCTTAGAATTCCTATTTGATCAAAATGTTAAGCTGGTGGTTTTCACCAGTTCACAGAGTGAAAACAAACAAACATACCCATTAGTCCCTAAAGAGAATAATGTCACACTGATGGTAATTTGGGGGAAACATTAAGAGCGATGTTGAGGTATATCTGTGTACTTACCCTCTTTCTAGTTTTAGTACAGATAAATGATAATGACAGAGTCAACATCGATCAAGTTATTATTTTAAAAAAAGAGTTTGGGAAGTCGGGAATGTTCCAGGTGAAAATAGGTACTGAGCAAGACTGACAATCTGAAAGGAATTCATTTTCACAGCTTCTAGTATATTCATTAACTAAAAGCATAGTGCTAAAGCATATTTTATAAATTGTTAATTTGGCGCAGTCTTACAAGCACTTAATAATTATGAAAGTCATAATATATTTAACATTGTCTGTTGAGAGATTGTTCCAACAGTTATGGGAGGCACTGATATATTGGTATATGTAGAAATAAAAGATTAAGAAGGTAGAATAGATCCTGTTTTTCTCACATAAATCTTTACCATATTTCTTTTTTAGAATGTTTTCTCTCCCTTTTCTTCTTTCCATTTCCACATTTCCCTTATCAGCACAGGGCAAGTAGGAAGAACAGCAAAAATAAAGCCTTATATAATGGGAGGCAAATAAAATATATAGCAAATTTTATTATAAAATATTGTTTTGTGGATGAATATGTAATCAAATGATCACATAAGAATGTTTTATCATTGATTAAATTATCTTTGATATCTGAAAATACGTATGTATTTTGAATTTGATATACTTTTTTTCTTTCTTAAATATGGAGCTTTAAGACCTTGTAGAAATAAATATGCCAATTTACATTACTCATCTTGATTTCATTTTTTTTTTTTTTTTACTTTTTATTCTATTGTTGCTTTGGACTTTAGAAAACAATGTGTTCTAATTCCTTTATTGATAGAATAGTGGACATCAGTGTTTCTATTCCACAAATAAGGCTTCCCTTAAAATTTTGGTTTCAATTGAAATATATAAGACATTAACTTGCTCCAAATATTGGTAAAGGCATACAATACCTTAAATTTGTTAGACAGATCTGCCTTGTGGGTTAGATTGGTAAAGAGTAAGAAAGCAGGAAAAACTGTCACACTTGGTGGAAATGTTAAATGACTGGAGAATGATATTCCCCAACATTTTTCTCATTCTTTTACTGAGATCTCTTTAAAGGAGAGGTCAATTTAGACATGTTTATTTCATTTGAAGTACATGCCATTTAATTTTTACAATTATGAACAAGTTTGTATGTGCCTATATGCACACACATTCACATATTCTAATGACCAGATTATTTAAAATTTATTGGGGCCTGTTAATTCTATTTTTTTCAACTCCAAATGAAAAGAGTGGTGGTAGGTTTTACTCAATTACTTATTTGAAGAGAAAATTCCATAAGAATTATTTTTAAAAAGCAGTTTTATTTTTTTAATATATTTTATTTATTTTTCACAGAGAGGAAGGGAGAGGGATAGAGAGATAGAAACATCGATCAGCTGCCGCCTGCACACCCCCCACTGGGGATGTGCCTGCAACCAAGGTACATGCCCTTGACAGGAATTGAACCTGGGACTCTTCAGTCCACAGGCCGACGCTCTAGCCACTGAGCCAAACCGATTAGGGCAAAAAGCAGTTTTAATTAATAACTTAGGATCAGTTCTTCACGAACTATTTTTCTCCGTTTAAAAACCATCCTTGGTTTTAAAATTGCATTATTCTAATTGGACTGAAAACACAATCTACTTTACTTCCTTATAGATAATTTAGAGTTATAGTTGTCTTCCAGGTTAATACATAACTCAGAATTAAAAAAAGAATTTATGTTATCTTTTGTAACATCATAAACCAGTTCACTTTACAAAAAAAAAAAAAAATCATATCCTAATGCCAGAAACATCCTATTAGAACTGTATCATTTCTTTATGAGATTATTAATTTTAGAACACCAAGAACTTTCAGTCTCCTTTTTTTTTTTTACTATTGGGCAATGTTTCCCTTTAATTGTCCTTAAAAAAAGAACAATTTTTACATTCCTACTTACTACCTATCTAGCTAACGTTTAATGTACATTAGTATATTAGTACAAATTTATAAATGTGTCAGAGAAAAATATCTTTCTAGATTTCTTTGAGGGTAAGGTTTCTGCTGTATTGCTTCTGCCTACCATAGCTATTTTTTTAATATATTTTATTGATTTTTTACAGAGAGGAAGGGAGAGGGATAGAGAGTTAGAAACATCAATGAGAGAGAAGCATGGATCAGCTGCCTCCTGCACACCCCCTACTGTGGATGTGCCGGCAACCAAGGTACATACCCTTGACTGGAATCAAACCTGGGACCCTTCAGTCCTCAGGCTGACACTCTATCCAGTGAGCCAAACCAACCAGGGCCCATGGCTATTTTTTAGTAATTTTATTTTCTGACTAATCTAGCTTTTATATTAAATCAACCTATTTCTAATACTGATGGTTAGGTGGTTTATGTTTCCAATAATGATCCTAGACCCATGGTTCATCTTGACCTGGTTCACTGTTACCAAAAAATTTTAAAGTAAATGAATGTGACCTCTGTGAACTTCCATTATGGCAACAAAGTGAATGTCTCTGGAGACCCAGTTTCTCTTTTATCTTGAAGCTTTGTATGGGACAGAGTTTCTACAGCTTTCGGCTGGGGAAGCATGTCCTAGTTTTAAAGTTTTTACTCTCTCTTAATAATACTTAATGGAATTTAAGGTTCTTATTAGCATCTAATAGGGCCAAGTCAAACATGTTTTACTATGAAATCCATTTACAGTATTTCTAAGGGCAGATTTAAAGATGTTGTACTTCTTGTCAAATGAATATTTGTCATGATTCCCATACTGAAATTTCAGTGTTAGAATTTTCATAAGAGATTCCACAAATTTATTGCATTTCCCCTTCTGATAAACTTTTCCTACTGTTGTTCATTGTTTTCTCTTGGGGATAAATAATTGATATTTAGTAGCTCCCTGTCATTGTTTCTGAGTCCTAAATTAAGCACGTTCAGGTCTGATAATAGTTTGGGGCTGTTGGTTCCGCCTGGAGCTAAAGGCAGAGCAAAGAACAAACCTCCCTTC